CCGCTCATTTTCGTAGACGCTCACACCCACCATTGCATAACCATCCATAAAAGGCACGAGCTGGGACTGAATTAGTGCGTTATTTTGAAAAATAAGGCAAGGAGTATATGCGTTATTTTGAAAAATAAGGCAAGGAGTATAATGGAGAACATTAGAGGGAAGAAAAAGCAAAAAAAGCATCAAGAAAATCACTAAAACTTCCTTTATGAAGCCGGCCGCGGTATGACGGGAGACACAGCGCTGCGAGGAGAGGAAAACGCGAGATAGTGTGTTTACGCAAGAGGGCGCAGATACCACACATGCCGCGTTTTATAAGGGTGCAACACGGTGGCACCCACGACAAGGCCTTAGCGCCGTTACCTCGCTTTTTTTGGATCGCGACAGTACCGCAACACTGCCTTTGGAGACCCATCTTTCTCACTCTAGAAGAAACTAGCTCTTGGGACCTAATCCCGACTCAAGGCTTTAACGTCCAGCATCTATATACGCACTTTTTTCCGTTTTCTGGTTTTATTCTGGACGAGCTACGAGAACTTACACGCACGCTGCTCATTTGATCCTTTCAACCCTGGCAATTGCCCCCATTAAATTCGGAGGTCCTCACTGCTAGAGCTCGCTTCGGACAATCTTTCCTTCACAATTTGTCTTTGCACAAGCTCGTCACTGTAGGACGCTACTGTGCAGATACGCAGATGTCAAAGCGCACACGGTCCCCAGCACACCGGATCCAGGTAGTGTCTGCGGGTAACGGTCCCAGTGTGAATTTACTCGGTTACAGACGACTTTTTTGGCTTCCCACTTCTCGCTTTATATTTTGCAGAGCCTTGAAAACATCAGGATGTAGCCATCTTCAAAATCAAAAGTCCACAATTTTCGTGGAGTGCTTTCTTTCCTGTAGAATGTATATTTCTCTCAGGTCAGCGCTCCGGAGCATGATGGAGAAGTGTTCGAGTGCTTACCTGAAGGAGGAGAAATGCGAATGGCGAAAGTGTTGAATGCCACAAAGATCAAGAAAGGTCACGGCCATGGATTTTTGAACTTAGCCTTCGATATGCAAGCGAATGTTAAGGTAAGTTGAAATAAACTGAGAGCATAATATCTTCAAAATTTTTCACTGGAGGTTTTAGAGGTCTTATTGAACCGAGAAGTGGTTTTGCATTTCCTATCTGTGTTAGAGAACGGTTTCAATGAATAAAACTTTAGAAATTCGAACCTGGCCACCGTCTGACTGCTAGGGTGACACATGTCAGGCATCATCCCCTGTCTGTGCAATTCCACTTGGCAAATGGGCAGCAGGCGACGTTGTGTGCGACGGCAATCGCTAACAATTATGAGAAAGTCCATCAGCATATTGAGCATTTCAAGCGTGATGGGGTAAGAATTTTACCAGGTGTATAAGTCGTTGCAGAAAATGCGTGCAAATTTCAGTTTTTTCTTTTCTTTCGCTCTTCATGAGTCACGTGGAGCGCGGCTCGTTAAGACAGAGCACGACGATGCTTTTCAAAAAATCCTTTGAAGGGTCGTACCACAGGCCTCACCGCTGAGTAGGTGCTGCAGTGGCCGATGTCAGACTTTGCGATTGGAGCGATTGTGCACAAATTGCAGGAGCGACGGATCGCTTGAGCGATCCATCGCTGCGAGCGACGGGAGATTTACACCGGCCGACCAACGATAATTCGGCGCCATCAGCTCGTAAATCTCCCGTCGCTCGCAACTTTGGAGCATCGCTCAAGCCCAATCGCTCGGCCGTACTAAGTGCCCTTGGCCGTTGTGGCAGGGAGGCTGCGAGCGACGGGACATTTACGAGCTGATGCCGAATTATCGTTGGTCGGCCGTGTAAATCTCCCGTCGCTCGCAGCGATGGATCGCTCAAGCGATCCGTCGCTCCTGCAATTTGTGCACAATCGCTCCAATCGCAAAGTCTGACATCGGCCAGTGGGCTTCTACTGTTGGAGCCCTTGACTATTATTCAATGGTAAGGAGTTGAGCTGCTCCAATTGTCGGACGAATGGAGATCCGTCACATGGTCCGCCCAGGGATTAGTCCCCGAGCGTCTCTTTAAACGATCTCTTGGGAACTCAAGTTTCTTTGATTTTATCTCGTCTAATTGCATGCAGTTCCCGAGATTTGTAAAATTTGGGCTGAATGGGATTAGTGATTACAGTAAGCACAACCTAAATTTACATATCTAAACCTCTGCATCATCATATTCAATTGAAACCTCCAGGATTGACACTTTAACTGTAGTATCCTGTGCCTATGAAGACCTCATTGATTTGTCTTGAGTGTATAATTTGTTGTGGTACATATTTGTGTCACCAGAAGTCCAACGAATGAGGAAATATTAAAGAAGTCGATTTTTACGAACCCTCTAGTGCTTCTTGACTGTGTAGCTAATATTTCTAAATTATAGCTTGGCAACAAGGCTTTTTCAGATCTTTCATCTGTATGCTTTGCGCCAAGAACAGAACCCTCAGCGAAATTACGTTTGCGCAGAGGGGCGGTATGAGACTTATCTGAAACACAAAGATGCCCCAATTAGGAAAGAAGAACGAAGGCGATTGCTTGTCGACCGCAGTGATGCTACGGCTGGATTAGTGGTAAGTAATTCTGCAATTTGTTCTGCTTGAGTCACTTGCTTGTTAGCACATCAGTTTCACCGTTTCGCCTCTGCAAACAAAGAGGAGTGGTGCGTCGCACGGGAAAAGTACAAGAATTTTGATTTTAACCACGCCTATCTCGGCGCACACCCGTCCTTCATGGACAATTTTTCATCATTCAGTTTGGCCTCTTCGACGCGAATTTGTCTCCCTACCGGCATTTCCCGAAGCCCGCTCCATATTCCCCATCCACCTTTCTGTGGCCTTTAGGGAGTCCTGGAACTGTGGTCGATTTTTCAAACAGATTAGTAGGGGGAAGGCTTTGCCCACTAGTGAGGCTCCGCTTGGCACAGGTACGCTTGCGCATCTAAACGTTGCTCGTTACAACATTTTTTTGGGTCTCAGTCAGCTGTGTTATTGCCGAGTTATGCTTTAGCACAGCCTCATCAGAAAACGCCACGCCTGTCGATCTAAGGTGAATCTCTTCCTCCACCTCACCTTAGCGCGCTGCTTTCACTTTTCTGGTTTCAGGGCCCAGTTAGTAATTTTTATCTCCTCCTTACAGCCCATTTTGTTGCACTGTTCGCCCACTGTAGACGGAACTCCATTTTTTTCTTGTGTACTGCGTATATCATGGTCCATACCCCACTCATCCCACACTTGACCCTGCCTTTCTAGGTCGTTCTTAGGTGCTGTCGTATTTCACGGCTTTCAAACAGGCTTTTTATCAACCTTATTTCATCAATCAAGCTTTTTATACATATAATAAGTAAGAATTTGTATATGGTTGGGTCATCCCGTCCACCTTTTCGAGTTTTCTGCATTATACTTTTTTCGTTGCCTAGTTTCACATTTTTTTCCATTTTTTTTTTCAAAGCTTCGACTCTAGTACCCTGAAGAAGTCGTGTTTTTAGTGCGACGGTTTCGTAGTTAAACATACAATAGATGCAGTTTTGGTGGAAATTGGACCCGGAATTGTTGGTCGTTTACGAAAAATACATCACCCGTGAGTTTTTGATCTTCCATTTCTTTGCGCTAGACTTGTATCGAAATGTTTCGCTTCAGAGAGATTCCTGCAATCACGTTGAACTCTATACTGACCGTGCGAGTGCGTGAAATTGATGGTGAAGGTCGAATATCTCTATCACTTGTTGCCATTGTATTCAAGGCTCCTGCTATCCAGGTATTTATTTTGATAACGCAGCTCTAATTCTAAGGTTTTTCATAATTCACGTACATGATGTCACAGAGCTTTTTGTCTTCAGGAAAGAAAACGGACAGCTGAAAAAGATGACACCATAGTGCCGAAAAAAGAGAAGAAAGAGGAGGAGTCTCCTGAACCAGCTGAAAAGGTTTCGGTGGGTATCGTATGGGAATAACTTCTTTCTGCTTTTGCACAAATAAACACGACGATATTTAGTTGAGCGATCCGGGTTTTGACTGGTCAAATGCTGGTTTCCGCCCAGAAGACCTTGCCGCCGTAGGCAAACTTGGCAGTGATGATGGCGAATTTGGTGACAGCTCTGCAGCCAATTCTACAGCTGATAAGGTTAAGGCAGCGGAAGTGAGAAACCATCGGTGGAAGTCAAGAAAGAGCGAACGAAGGATTTGAAGAAAGCGAAGCCAATGAGTTAGTTGTTGTTCATCTCCAGCACAATATCTCGTTTATTCTTTATAAGGATTTCTTTTGCTTCCAGCTAAAGAAGAGCAGGACATGGAAAAAGAGCGAAGGTTGGCAAATCGAGAGGTGGAGCTCTCAGGTGACTTCGAGCCGGAAACTCAAGAGGACTTTGCTCGTCTTCTACGTAAAGATCCCAATTCGGCTGAGATCTGGATAAGGTTCGTATCAATGAGTTCCTTCATTGTTTGTCTTTTGGGTTTAGTGGTGAAGCTAGAAATATTGAGCTTGAGCCGGAGAGATGCACTTTTGTGGGCATCTATATCCCGAACAGTGTGTACTTTTAGACGACAAATAAGGGATTTCACTGAAGAAATTCTTCAATTTTTCTGGACAGGTTTGGTGACATGACAT